GTTAATAAATAATGTCAAAACTAAGATAATATTTATACACGGGAAAAAAATACATTGTTAATTAAAATATTTTTATATACAAAAACAAATATTATTGTTATAAACCAAATCAACTTTACTACCGATCTAAATATTGAGTAAGAGAAATTTATCAATGGAAAAAAACAATATATAAGTAATTTCAAAACAAAAACAATATTTATATCCGGAAAAAATACATTGTTGATTAAATTATTTATATAGATGAAAAAAAAATATTATTGTTATAAACGGGATCAACTTTAATTGTTTTAAATATTGAATAATATAAATTTATAGATCATTTTTTCAAATATGTGACAATTTAATAGAAAAAATACTATTGTTATAAACGACAACAATTTTATTACATTTTGAAAATAAATATTGATTCAAATATTTTTATATATGTAATGAATTATAGACACTAATTTATTATATCTTTTAAAAATATGCACTTTTTTGTTGAACAATTTAGTTAATTTAATATTATTTTTATTATATTTTGGAAAAAATGTGCGTACCATATCAGTACTCGTACGAACGCACGAGTATTCCATTAGTTTTTCTAATAAGCCAAATGCATTAACTAAAAAATACAAACATCAACTTTATATATATATATATATATATATATATATATATATATATATATATATATATATATATATATATATATAATATTGTTTCGTGTATACGTTAAAAAAAATCAAATAAGAGCGGTTATCCATTTGGATATGTCTTATTATTTCTCAAAACGATAAATTAGAGTATTATGAAAATCATAACATCAAAAGATATAAATATTAAATTTTACTAACTTTTGATATAAAATATATAATTACCGATATTGATTTATGGTGATGACTAGTTAATATGAAATTTAAAATTGAGATAATCAATTATATGTATAATTATATATGTCTATTAACATTATTCGTTTGATCTTGCGTTTTTGTTTGGAAAATTGTGACCGAATATATGTTAGTAATATTTCATTGATATGTGTATGTTTGAAAAGTTACCTACAAATTTACTTATTAAGAACATCTTATTCACCTATCTTGTTGCATAAGTTACAAGTTTTATTTCTATTTTTCCTGCCATTCTATTGACAATATTGAAGGTGCGAGAAATACATAAAAATGAGAGAGATTTGAATTAGGTTTCAAGTATGATAGATTTTTTCGACATAAATCAAAGGCTTAAAATAATAAAAACAATAATAAAGTGATTTTTTCACCCAAATAACCAAATTTCTACACTATAATTTCCAATCTACCCAACTTTCCAATATATTATCCAATTTACCCTAGTTTTGTATTTTTTTTATTTTTTTTTACAAGGGGGCGCCATGGGGGTTGGAGCCTCCCTTATAATTTGTATGGGGGCGCCATGGGGGTTGGAGCCACCCTACAAATTATAAAGGGGGCGCCATACCCATTGGAGCCTCCCTTAAACGAAATTTAAAAATTATTTTTAATGTTTAATTAGTTTAAAAATATTTAATAAATAATTTTTAATAATTTAAAAAAATTTTAAAAATAATAATTTCTGAATAATTTTTAACAATTTATATTTTAATATTTTTAATGTTTCATATTTTTAACAATTTATAAATAAATAATAATTAATATTTTCATTAATAAATTCCAAACAACAAATAAAAATTAAATTGGATTAAATAAATTTAATCACATACAAATGGCTACATTTGAAAGATCTTGTACACTAATTTCTACGGCTCGGTCGATTTAAATGTCTGCCCGTACCGCATCCTCGATTACGTACGTTTCTTGGTGGTCTTTGTGGTGGAGTCGGGTCCATTGTGTCGTCATCAAGCATTTGCATCACTTCGGCCCATGAAGAGTCCATATCCGTAAAGTCATCCAAATTAAAAGGGTTGCCCATGCCTTCATAATTATTTTGGGGTGGTTGGCTGGATGAGGCAATGTCAGGACGATAACCTGCCTGATTGTAGGGTGAGATGAGTGTAAAGGTTTGGGTGGGTATGGGTTGATTGGGTGTTTGAAACTGGGAGTATGTGTGGTATTATGGTGGATGTTGTTGGTATTCGGATTGTGAATGAGTTTGTGTGAATGGAGTGAATTGGTTAGGAGTATGTTCATATGGCTGTGATTGTGTGAGTGGCGGTTGGAAATGGGGTTGGGTTGGCGGTTGGAAATGGGGTTGGGTTGGCGGTTGGCATTGAGGTTGGGTTGGCGGTTGGAAGTAGGGCTGGGTTGGTTGTTGGGGCCTTGATGATGAATCTTGTTGGCGTGGGTCATTAAGATACCTTGGATGTGAAATGAAACCAATTGATACAGACTTATACCAAGTCATGTATTGTATAGATTGTTTCATCTCGTATGGAAACACATTGTCGGACAAAACATAGTTGTTGCGATGCCTCCATTCACGACACTCGTGTTTTGCATACTTGGTCCACGGATTATATTCTCATTGGTCGGAGACTTTACCGTTGTGATATTTGTCGGGTATGCACTTTGGGGGACATGGAATATCTTGAAGCATTCCAAATTGAAGTTTCACACGATCACTGTTGTGCATTTCGACGGTGGTGAAGTTGATAATGGGCACCTTTGCACTCCACACCGCAGAATTTTGTCGTTCAACTTGATGAAATGCTTCTAGACCAAGATACGGCCGCCAAATGAACTGAAGGATGAAAAAAATAATGTTTAGTATTTTCTAATAATATTCAAGGAGAGTATAACATAAATAGGTAGGTGAGTGAGTTTACATCTTCTTGCGCCAAGTGATCAATAAGATTTCGGTACTGCGTTATACTGAAGTGGGGACAATTGTCATAATTCATTCCAAGCGAAGACTACCTACAAATCAAAAACAATAAAATTTATTAATAATATGATTAATAAATAAAAACACTTTGATAGATAAATGAGAATTGGAAAAAATAATTACCTTTTAGCGAATGGGAATTCAAACTGATTTTGTTGGATAGGTGCTAGATTGGTCATTCTTGACCAACCCCAAGATTGTAGAAGAACACCATATCCGGTCCAATTTCCGGTATTGGCTATTGAGTTATGACATAAAGACCGATATAGGTGCGCTAGTGTAGCGGACCCCCAACTATATGTTTTTATTTTATCTACGTCATCTAATAAAGGTAAGTACATAGAGTGAACGGCGCTTCCACTTGTATTCGGACATAAAAATAACCCTATTAATAGCATTATATAAATTCGGGTTTTTCTAATTTTTAGAATTTCAGGAGAATCGGGGGTTAATGTCAAGTCTCTATAAATTTTTTTGAGCCATGACATTAAAAGTTTTTGTCCCCTCAAATCTCGTGGGGTTGGTTCAACCCCCAAGAGTTCTCCTATGAAATTACCGGTAGGATTGATTTTATCGTTAACCGCCTTACCATGAATGGGTAAACCCAATAACATGTATGTGTCCTCGAGTGTAACTGCACATTCACCTATTGGAAGATGAAATGTGTGCGTCTCGGGTCGCCACCTTTCTTGCAAAGCCAAAATAAACTTAGAATCAATGAGATAATTTGTTATCTTAACGACCTCTCCAAAACCTGCTCGCTCCAAAAAAGGTTGAATCAACGGATCATGTGGAAAATATTTATGCCCACGAGTACGAAATTCATGAGTATCCTACAAAAAAAATAAAACATATCATTAGAACATTGTATTTGTTACAAAAAAATAATAAAACATATCATTAGAACATTGTAAATGCATTATGATGCTACAAATAAATACAACATTGTGAATTATCAAGTAGAAATACTTACATACGACGCGATGTTGCTTGGTGTTCCTCAATGCGTTTCACCCATTGTTAACAGAGACATGACTTCTATAGTGTGAATATATGTGGAAAATATTGGGAGAATTTGAATTGTTGAATATATTTGATGTGTTTTTTTAGAATGAAGAGGAGAAGTATTTATAGTTGAAATTTAGAAATTTGAAATTTGAAATTTGAAATTTGAATTTATGGTTGTATAGGTAAAAATTTAATTTGTGTAGTTGTAATATTTATTGATATTAATGAGATAGTTGAATTTGTGTAAAAAGATATTGATGTGTAGAATAAAAGCGGTGGAACATGTATATGGGAATTGGGAGCATTCTTACCATCAACTTCCACAGTATCTACTAGCACTTCAGAAATATGTTCCTGGTACGGTTGTAATATTGGAGTCACTACCAGCATACACTCTTGAAGGAACATGTGTTGCTGGAAGTAGGATATTTTCTCGTCTCTTTTGGGCATTTCAACCATGTATCAAAGGTTTTGCGTTCTGCAAACCAGTTATACAAGTCGATGGAACATGGTTGTATGGAAAATACAAAGGAACATTGTTGATGGCGGTAGCACAAGACGAAAATAATAATATATTTCCGATTGCCTTTGCCCTGGTCGAGGGTGAGACAGGCGAAACTTGGAGTTTCTTCCTCAGAAATCTCAGAACACATGTCGCACCACAACCCAACTTATGTCTGATTTCTGACAGACATGCTTCTATTGTGAGCGCCTACAACAATCCTGCTAATGGTTGGCACAACCCTCCTTCTGTCCATGTCTTCTGCATAAGACACATTGCTCAGAATTTTATGCGGGACATTAAAGACAGAAACCTCCGTAAAAAAGTTGTGAACGCTGCGTATGCCTTAAACCAACCATCGTTCATGTATTACCGAGAAGAAATAAGGTTGTCAAGCGTGGAAGCATTAAGGTGGGTGGATAATATTCCAGTCGAGAAATGGACTAGGTCATTTGATGGAGGGTGTAGATGGGGTCACATGACCACAAATCTTGTAGAATCCCTAAACGGCGTATTTAAGGGAACTAGGAACCTCTCCATCACAGCGTTGGTAAGGGCAACGTATTACAGATTGGGGTCACTATTTGCAGCAAGAGGCAAAAAATAGAGCGCTGTACTGCAATCAGGGCAAATATTCAGCGAATCAAGCATGAAGTATATGAGGGATGAAACTTCTAAGGCGGCCTCACATCGAGTTAGACCATTTGATCGTCACGATTACAGCTTCATTGTTGATGAGACAATGGATCACAACGAGGGTCGGCCAATGGGACACTACAGGGTGGAACTTCATAAAAATTGGTGCGACTGCGGAAAGTTTCAAACCTTCCGCATGCCTTGTTCACATGTCATTGCCGCATGTTCAACTGCTCGTCAGGATCCATTCTTGCAGCTATCAGAAGTTTACAAGGTCGTGAACTTATTCGGTATCTACAGTAGCAGTTTTCCAGTGGTAGCTAGTGAGGACTACTGGCCAACCTATCATGGAGACACAATCTACCACAATGAAAATATGAGAAGAAACAAAAAGGGCCGCCCCAAAAGCACCTGAATCACAACTGAAATGGATACAGCTGAGAAAATGGAAAGATTGTGCGGAATATGTCGTCTTCCCGGGCATACGAGGAAAAACTGTCCAAATGTTGGAACAAGTTCTAGGTAGATTTAATTTGGTCTTTAAAATTTGTGTAATCGTGCAATTTAATATTTATATCAACTTTTCATTACCACAAAAACGAATTGAATTACTTCTACAGCATAAAACGCAAATCATTAAAATACAACGATTATTACAACATAACCTAAGATATAACAACAATCAAAGTAATATCATCAGTTCCGAACATCATATACCTAACTTCGTTGTCATCTCTAATTCGCACCCAGTCACGCCGTATGTTTCCGTCTTCAACAGAGAAGTACGAGACAAGTCTTTCAATACTCCTAATTCTTTCACCATTTGGAATGTCTCCTTCTAGCCACCGATTCAAATTTCTTCGTAGTTGTTCTAAACTCTGAATGTTCCAAAACAACATCCTTATCGGAGGCTTCGTCGGTGAAAAAATTACATGCCCATATCTTCTAAGGAACATGACTCACTCTTCTAAATTTGGATGAAACAATGTTAGCAACATGTCTACCTATTTATAAAAAAAAATTTGGAAAACCATAATATAATATTTTAATTATATTAATTATAATATATTTTAAAAATTATTTTCGTATAAAGGGAGCTCCATAGGGGATGACGCCCCCCTTTAGGGCATTTAAGGGAGGCTCCAATGGGTATGGCGCCCCCTTTATAATTTGTAGGGTGGCTCCAACCCCCACGGCGCCCCCATACAAATTATAAGGGAGGCTCCAACCCCCATGGCGCCCCCTTGTAAAAAAAAATAAAAAAAATACAAAACTAGGGTAGATTGGATAATATATTGGAAAGTTGGGTAGATTGGAAATTATAGTGTAGAAACTTGGTTATTTGGGTGAAAAAATCTAATAAAGTACTTAAGGATTTTTATCAACAACAATGATAAAAATCAACATCAACATTAATGTGTCATTCATGCTAGACATATCAGTGAATTCATTATGACACACATAAACAAACCACTTATCATTGTTTGTTTCATCTTGATGATAAAAACAATAATTCATGTTATCTTCAATATTAAGACATAGAGACTGATTTAAGACAAACTCTCGTGCTTTTATATTTAATGATGTCGCAGTCTTAATTTTGGAAAATAAAAATGAAATTTTAGTTTATGTCAAAAAATATTTTTCATTATGATTAAAAGTGAATCATATAAAGAAGGATAAATGTACTACTGAATGTGAGTGTGTAAAATTTATTTTAGTATTCAAAATTTGCTCAAGATTTAATGAAAATTTACTTTAAAATGATTGAAAATTTGGATTTGCAACAAATTTTGTCTTTTTTAATTTGAAATCTAAATTGTTACAATAAGAATGTGAATAGACATTATGAATTATGCTATTCTTTTAAAGAGAGTACGTTTTAAAATGTTATGATAATTTATGAGCTGAGTAATTAGAATTAAGTATAATTTGTGTTCTTAATTACAAGAATATTAATTGTAGGATTACATTGTTTATAGTGTTGGAAATTTCCTCACACCCTATGAAGAATTCCCTTCAATCTTGATCTCAAGATTGATGAACAAACTCACAATATGATAGTAATGGTAATAACAAGTAATTATCAAGAACAACAAAAGAAAAGAAGAACAAACAAGAAAGAGAAGAATGAGAGAAGAAATATTTGGAGAAAGTTGTTACCCACAACTGTGGGATTTCTGATTTTATTGAACCTTCACTTGCTAACACTGCAACTGTGAATCCAGTTCTATGTTGTGATATAAAATACAAAGCAAGACACCCTATTTATAGTTTTAGGTTTACACTAGCCCAAAACATAAAAGGCCCAAAATATTAAAATCAAATCTAATCATATCAAATTAAATCTGTTTACACAATGAATTATATTTAACACACCACCTAATTCATTGTGTCTAAACTGTCTACATTCATCATGGCTCTTAGTCTTCTGAAGGCTTCGACCTGCACTCCCTTCGTCATGATATCTGCAATCTGATTCTCAGTTCTGTAGTGTTCCAACTTCATCTTCCCTTCTGTTACCTGCTCTCGAAGATAATGGAACCTCATTTCGATGTGCTTGCTTCGACCATGAGCTATTGGATTCTTCGCCAAGTTGATAGCTGACATGCTGTCTATCTTCATGGTAATTGCTCCATGATTCTTCCATGTGATTTCTTCGACCAAGTTCACCATCCAAGTTGCTTGACATGCACAAAGAGAAGCAACTATATATTCTGCTTCGCATGATGACAATGCCACTACTGGTTCCTTTCTCGAATTCCAAGCAACTGGTGCACCACCTAACATAAACACATAACCAGTTGTGGATTTTCGATCCTCAGCATCATTACACCAACTGGAGTCTGTGTATCCCACTAACTTGCATTCTTTTCCTTTATCAGCTGCTGGAAATAAAATACCATAGTCGAGAGTTCCTTTCAGATACCTCAGTATCCTCTTCGCCGCTGCTAGGTGTGATACCTTTGCCTTCTGCATGAATCTACTTACCATACCAACACTGTATGCTAAGTCAGGCCTTGTGTGACAAAGGTATCTAAGTAACCCAATAAGTCTTCTATATTGGGTTGGGTCGACATCATCTTTATCTGAATCCTTCGACAGTTGCAATCTGGGCTCAGCTGGAGTCGAAGTTTGGTATGCACACTTCACGTCCATCTGACATGTGTGCCAGTTGTTCATATTTGCTAGACCAACAACCAACCTGATTGGTTCGATTCTAGCAACAGGTGCGAATACTTCATCGAAGTCGATTCCTTCCTTCTGAAGAAATCTTTTCGCCACAAGTCTCGCCTTGTGTCGAGTTACTTCTCCTTTAGGATTTACCTTCACCTTGTAAATCCACTTCACATCAATTGCCTTCTTGCCCTGCGGTAATTCGACAAGTGACCAGGTATCATTGACTTCGATGAACTCCAACTCTTTAATCATTACTTTCATCCACTTCGAATCTTTCAATGCCTCAGCTGCATTGACTGGTTCGACATCTGCATAGAAAGCATAATGTACCAACTCACCCTCTTCATCGACTACATCATCTGATGTAATTACACATTCTTGCAACCTTGCAGGCATGTGTCTTGTTCCTCGAGGTCTGCTTGAACCTGCTTCATCTGCAACTGGTTCCTGTCGAACTTCTATTTTGACTTCAGTGGCTGGTTCTTTATAAGAGATTCTCACTGAATCCTTCTTGGCATTCTTAATCCAATCTCATTCTTTAAGCTCATATATGATCACATCCCTGCTGATCACTACCTGCTTATTCACTGGGTCGAACAGCTTGTAATCTCTTGTCGAATGATATCCTATCAAGATCATCTGATTCGACTTATCATCAAGCTTCCTTCTCAACTGATCTGGCACATGTCTATGTGCTATAGATCCAAACACCTTCAAGTGACTGAGACTACGCTTGACACCAGACCAACATCCTTCTGGTGTGATTCCTTCAAGCTTCTTCGTCGGACATCTGTTCAATATATATGTTGCTGTCGAAACTGCTTCTCCCCATAATTCTTTAGGTAAATGCTTCCCATTCAACATACTTCTCACCATATTCATGATGGTTCTGTTCTTGCGTTCTGCAATCCCATTTTGCTGTGGAGTGTAAGGTGGCACCACCTCATGCACAATCCCTTCTTTTACACATAGTGTATCGAACTCTTTCGACACATACTCTCCACCACCATCAGTCCTCAGAATTTTCAGCTTTCGACCACTCTGTCTTTCGACCATGGACTTGAATCTGGAAAATACCTCAAACACATCACTTTTCTTCTTGATGAGGTAAGTCCACAACTTTCGACTATAATCATCTATAAACGTGACAAAGTATCTATTGCCACCAATCAAATCCACCTGGATTGGACCACATACATCAGAGTATATGACTTCAAGTATTGCCTTCGACTTCCTTCCTGCATCCTTGCTGAAGCTATTCTTGTGTTGTTTCGACTGAACACACTCTTCACAGACTTCACTTGGAATGTCGATTTCTGGTAATCCTGAAACCATATTTCTTCTCTTCAGTTCTCTAATGTCATTAAAGTTGAGATGACCTAGTAGAAAATGCCATAACCACTCACCTCTGCTGGCTGCAGTTGCTAGACATCTGTGCTCCATCACATTGAGTCCAATCTTGAAGGTTCTATTCTGAGACATTGGAGCCTTCAAGATTAGTCTACCACCTGCTTCGAGAACTCTCATCATCTTGTCTTCGACAACTACCTTGTAGTTCTTTTCGACAAGCTGCCCTATGCTGAGCAAATTACTCTTCATGCCTGGTATGTACAACACATTGGAAATTGTTGACCTCTTGCCATTTTTCCTCATAATCAGAACATCACCAACACCTTCGGCTGCTAGAGTGTTGTCATTTGCAAACTTCACGGTGTTCTTCGACGAGGACTTCATGTTGACAAACCAATCTTTCCTTCCAGTCATGTGTGATGAGCATCCTGAGTCCAAGTACCACTGATCTTGGAATCTTTCTTCATCTTTTGTTGTGACCATTAGCAACGTTTCTTCTTCTTCATATTTCGCTAGCTTTGCATCAGTCTCTTGATTTCTCTTCCTTTCTGGACAATCACTAGCATAATGACCATACTTCTGGCAATTGAAACACTGAATGTGGCTTTTGTCTGGCTTTCGACCACCACCTCTTCCTTTACCTTCAGCACCACCTCTTTGGTTGCCTTGGTTCCAAGGTTTCTTCTGATTCGACTGGTTTCCTCCTTTGTTGCCATTCCAGCTACCTTTTCCTTTTCTTTCCTTTTCTGACTGCGCCTGTAAAGCCATATCTTTCGACTTTCCTGCAGCTCTCTCAATCATCCTCTGTTCATGAGACTCAAGAGTCCCTTGAAGCTCTTCCTTCGTCAATACTGACAGATCTTTCGACTCTTCTATGGCAACTAC